GATTAAGTTGATTAGAGAATGGTTTAGATTCTCAATTGGACCCGGAAGATGGCATTGTTGTCGATATCCAAAAATCAACTGTGCGAAAACGGGGCTGAAAGCCAGTTTAAATAAAACAAAGATCTACTTTTATAGTCTATTATATATTTCAATTTATAATAGAAATATGTTACAACAGCAATTTATTGTGTAATTTTCCAACAATTATAAGTATTATAACAAATAAATAAAATAGTATAAGTAAATAAAATAGTATTCTATTTTATTCTTAGAATACTAAAAAACATTTATATAACAAACACAATAAAAAATAAAAACAAAATAATAGGTATCCCTCCGGGTGTACCGACACTATCTTAGCAAATAGACTATAAAGAGAGTGCAATATTTTGGTTTGTGTATATAAAGCTAGGGTAATCACCCGAACCACTGCACCTATGTGAATAATACTTTGTTCTTTAAAAAGTTTGAAAGGTACATGTACAGTGTACAGGGAGTCGAGAGCGGTGGTATAGGAGAGCGTCATGCTATTTGCAGTCATGGCATACGATTCGATTTTACTGCCAAGACGCGCAGACCGCAGCGGACTCGTTACTAATTGCGGCCCGCTATTTATTTCTATTGATAGATAATAAAGCAGCCGCCGCGTCAGCTCGCTCTCCCGGCCTCGCATTTGACAACAAACGTGACAGATGCTTTGTGCTAGTGATAAGCAACGCCAGTCGCGCCTGTCACACAGGTTGCGATGCTTAACTGACAGCTGCGAGACGTTTCCATAACATTTATCAACTCTTGCAAAACAGCCTTCAGTACGAGTAGAGACCAAATAATAAAAAAATAGCATAAAATCTATTTGAAATTAATATTTTATTTTTAAATTATTATTTATTGCTGCTTTGAACTTACTATTATTATATTTTTTTATATATATATTTAACAGTGGTAGAGCTACGCGGCAGCTTTTGCTGTCGCATGGATGGGCCGGCTCGAACCGGGGTAGTACCACGACCTCACAGAAAACCAGCGTGAAGTAGAGGTTTATCTCTGCGTTTCGCTTGGTGAGTGCAGGTGGCCGGAGGCCCTTTTTACTGGAAATGAGGCATTCCATCTTAGTCCTCACGGGTGACAACGCATCTGCATTTTGATTCGCAAGCGAGGATGGATGTGGATGTCTGTGGGCCGCAGCAACCGCTTGCCATCGGGTGGACTGTGTGCTCGTTTGTCGCCCTTATCCTATAAAAAAAAAAAAAAAAAATTATTATGTTTTCTGACCTCTATCCTGAGTAGGATACTATTTTAATATAGTGCAAAAGTAAGTAGATATAACCCTAACTACAGCGTCTACTTACTATGAGGTGAACTGTGCGCTCGTTAATTACTCTTGGTTCTATAATTGAATAGAAAACAGACACAACAAACAATAGAAGTAATCTGGCTGAATGTTATAATGCTAAAATAGATTCAGACATATTTTTTTTAGATAGTAAATCGTGTAGTAACATCGTCAGAGTTTTGCCAACACAAAAACAAAATGTGGTTTTAAACTTGTGGTTTGTTGCTTCAGCATTTGTTAAGAATAAAATGAACAACACTTCTAAAATACAAAGTAAAATAAAAAACACATAGTGCTCCGTATTTACCAACATAGCAATTTAAAACGGGAAACAAAATCATTACAAACAAGGAAAGTACAGCCGCTGCTCCGTAATTGCACAAAGGGAGTACAACTAGCACAAAACAAACCATTCTCACGTCTCTGTCACGTATGCGCAAAATATAGACAGAGATGTGTGCAAAAGCATTATATTTATATTCAGAAAGTTATGTGTAACGAAGAGGCACCGTATACGGAAGAGATTTCGGGCACGTGCCGCTTTTGCATACGACTGACCGGAATATGTAATTGTTCCGTTGGATTTAATGCTCAATCGATAACTCTCTTATCGGTATTCTTTGAGCTAAATTTTGAGGATTCATTTCGTTTATACCTAATTTAAATACAACTTCAATAGCCCATACACGTTTATACGTGGTAGAGATACGCTACAGCTATATTAATAGTATAGTTGTAGCACGAATGGGTCGGCTCGACCGGGAAAGAATCACGCTCTCACAGAATACCAGCGTAAAATAGCAGCTTAACACTGCTGTGTTTCGTATGGTAAGTGTAGAGAACCGGAGACCCTTTTTACTGGAAAGAAGGCATTCCATCTTAGTCCGCACGGGAGACAACGCATTTGCATTTTTATTCGTAATCGAGGATAGATGTCTATGATGGCTATGGGTCACAGCAACCACTTACCATCAGGTGGACTGTGTGCTCGTTGGTCACCTCATACAAAAAAAATTAAATACATCTTCAATACTCCATACTCTTTTTCTAGGTGGACTTTCATATCGTGCTGGTTGAAAGCTATCACGGCCTCTTCTGGCTCTTTGACTTTTTTGAAAAAAAAAAACACAATATGTTTGGTCTGAGTGCAGAATGGATCATTAGCTCTACCTATTCAGAAGCCAAAAATAATTATCTTATTCGCGGTATGCGGAAAACATTCTCATGGTGCAATAGGATGCGACTTCTTGGTCATTTTTACCAAACTTTTTCAAAGACACTAGACAAAAAAATGATGGTGTAGCTACTCAGCATTAACTACCTTTTGCCCCATTCAACGCCAACAAATGAAGTGCTAACCTTCCCAAAACGTTTTGAAAACAAGCAGCTCACTCTTGCGGAGCAGTGAACGGTTTCGTATTACGAGTGTAAAGAACCGGAAACCCTTTTCACTGCAAACGAGGTATTATATATTGGTCCTTAGAAGTAAAAACACATATACATTTTGGTTCTTAATCGAGGATAGATGTAGATGTCCATGGGCCACAGTATTCACTTATCATCAGGTGAACTATGTGCTTGTTTGTCACCTTTCTTCAATAAATAAATGATCACGTTTTTGCAAAGGAAAGCTTTACAGGTTTAGGAAAGATATTATGGACTAAACAACTTCTAAGTACAGAACTAAATAATTTAAAATTTAAAATTTTGTACAACCGAATTCAATATATATTATTTAGGATAACTCAAAAACTATTGGTCAGACCTTGATCAGGGCCTGAGACCACATGAAAAGCACCAGCTTTCAAATAAAAAAAGAATCGTCGAAATCGGTTCACGTAGAACAAAGTTATAAGGTAACACATAAAAAAAACATACAATCGAATTGAGTACCTCCCCGTTTTTGAAGTCTGTAGAAAAATAATTTTTTAGTATTTTGATTTAGTAATCCTTTCACACCTTTCCCCCCGCTAGATGGAGTGACGACCTGGTAAAATATGCAGGAAGTCGATGGATGCAGGTGGCTCAGGACCGTGCTTTGTGGCATTCCTTGGGGGAGGCCTATGTTCAGCAGTGGACTTATGAAGGCCCAGTTTCTAATCTCAGATTTTCTGTGTACAGTAACGTCTATTATAGTCTCAAATTAAATTTCGTAAACTCGCATAAATGTCTTTGAGAAACCATATTATGACAAATGATATTTGTAGCATAGTTTATAACTTTATATTTGACGCATACGGACTAAATTAAATTCTTGGCATTCGACACTGTTAGCTCTGGAACATAATATCATTAATATAAACTGTGTAAGTGTTATTATATTAGGATGTGGTTACCATAATAGAGTACCTTTAATGTCGAAATAATAACCAGCGTGATGTGTAACGTATAAGGACCGACTCACTCGTTCTGACCTATCTTAATTCGACTGAATGTTTTCATTACAGCAAAACTTTCACACAAGTTCAAGGCAGTGGCAACTGCAAGACAGGGGATTAATCTTCAATTTGTACTAATCTATAAGATAGCTGGATAGTGTAATCGGAATTCTACAGACTAGTGATGATTTTTTTAAATATTATAAGCTAGTGCTGAAATACTATCCAATAGGGAAAGGTAATAAAACGTTCTTAATGACAAAACTTTACAAAGACCTATTCTAACCTTATCTAATATCTTATAATAGTTATTAAAAAAAACTAATAAAGGTTACAAATCAATTATTGCACTGATTCTTAAACTAGGATTATTCCTGTGTCAGACATCAGTACACATAAAATTTTAATGTGTGTGCGCGATTGTGCGCGCGCGCGTATGTGTGTGTGTGTGTGTGTGTGTGTGTGTGTGTGTGTGTGTGTGTGTGTGTGTGTGTGTGTGTGTGTGTGTGTGTGCACGTGACAAACGAGCACACAGTCCACCTGATGGTAAGTGGATGCTGTGAACTATAGACATCTACATTCATCCTCGATTAAGAATCTAAATGCAGATGCATTGTCACCCCTGAGGAGGAAGATGGAATGCCTCGTTTCCTGTAAAAAAAGGGTCTCCGGATCTCTACACTGACCACTGAAACACAGGAATATTAAGCTACTATTTTACGCTGGTATTCTGTGAGAGCGTGGTCCTACTACGGTCGGCCCAACCCACTCCTGCTACAACCATAATATAGCTGCAGTGTGGCTCTACCACGTATAAATCGGTCTTGTATAATCTTGTCTCTCACTCATGTCAATCTTTATGTGTGTTTTACTCGAGGCCTAACAAATTAAACCTTATTCATTGTATGAGACACGTTAGTTGCCAACTAGTCCTCAATTGAGAATAAATAACCGGCCATGTAGATCGAAAAGACGACAAGGGTTGGGAAGGAAAAGTCTAGAGTAGTAACATTGTGGAGTGTACATTAGATGAAGTGATGACTTGGTAAGATATGGACGACTTGGATGCAGGTGGCTCTGGTACCGTGTTTTGTGGCATTACTTGGGAAAGCCTACGTTCAGCAGTAGAATTATTAATGTATAATTATAACGATGATTAATGTTTATTTAAGCAACTTGTTCTTACCAAATAAATGGGGGAAGGGTACCTAAAGTTAGACAAGGATATCAAACCTATGAATAACTTAACTGTATTAAACAATTTATTAATATGAAACCACACTTTGCAGGAACGCGGTGGGTGGTCACAATGGAGCGAGTGGTCGCTTTGCTCCCGCACTTGTGACGGCGGTGTTTCAAGACAGTTACGCACATGCTCCTCGCCAGCTGGATGTCGCGGCGAGCCGGTCCGATATAAGATATGTAATATGCAGGTGAGTCAAAAATCATATAATTAACAATAGTTGTTTTAGATAAAGGTACGAGAAGAAAGGAGAATTGGCTCACCACCAGGCGTAACTTAGTGAAACACATGTCGATTTATTCCTTATAACCAATAGATCACAATAGTAATATTAGTTCAAACTAAAAGCGATTGTCTAGTATTTTTCACAGTTATTGTTATTTAAAATAGAGCACTGGTCAATAATTAATAGTATTTTTTATTTATTTTTTAATTTTTTAAAAAAAACGTTACCCCCACACTAGGATTTTCTCCTGTATCGCGGAGGCAGGTTACAAACACAAAATTGCACAAGGACAAACATCCAGACCCGGAACAATTATTTGTAGGCCGTACAAATACTTGTTCCGTGCGGGATTCGAACCCGCGGCCCCAAGCGTTGCAACTCATTGCTAAGCCACTACGCCACGGAGCCGAGTATAAAAGAAAGTTGTAGGTACATTCGACATTTATAGGTACTTTTAGGTTGATGGAATTTTTTTTAGTAGTCCGTTCTTCTTTCTATGCATTTTTTTCATATTATATTAGCCAATTCACGAATATCAATTTTGTTTTTCAGATTTTATAAGACCGGTTACATTTTCATAAAATCTTTAGACCGTTTACTATAATGAATTGGTATCTTTTTTATATGTAATAAAATTAAGTTACGTTAAAGTTTCTAGTGGGCCCAAAAACGATTTTATGCTTTGGCTTTGGAAAACTTTTGTTACATAATTTCTTACAATGTTTATCCGAATACAAAATATCGAGTAAAACGAATTTTACTGATTTAATGACAATTAATTTATGTTATTATTAATCCTTTTGAGTTGTTTGCAGTACTTTTTAATTATTTTTAAATTCTAATCAAGACCGTGAACATCTTAATCGAGTATAACCAATGCCATCAAAAACATAAATTGTAAGAAAAACATAAATTGTAAAAAAAAGTCTTGCAGCTCAGTTCTTCTACCGTAAAATGTTGTGAGATCCATGTAATACCAAGTCGGTTAATTTATTCAGTCCCTACTTAAGGGTCCTTCTGTCTTAAGTTATTACGTAATTAGCCAACCTAACAACATCTTATAGTGACCACATCAATATTAAAAATCTTTTATATTTTAAATAAATAGATTGAATTGGCCATATTAAGTGGTATAGCCAAGCTGCAGCTATATTAATAGTATAGTTGTAGCACGAACGGGTCGGCTCGACCGGGGTAGAACCACGCTCTCACAGAATACCAGCGTAAAATAGCAGCTTGATGCTGCTGTGTTTCGTATGGTTAGTGTAGAGAACCGGAGACCCTTTTTACTGGAAAAGAGGCATTCTATCTTAGTCCTCACGGCTAACAACGCATCTTCATTTTAATTCGCAAACGAAGATAGATGTAGATGTCTATGTGCCACAGCAACCACTTACGATCAGGTGGACTGTGTGCTCATTTGTCACCCCAATTCTATAAAAAACGGTAATAATACACTTCGCAATTTTTTTAAATTAAAACAATTTTTTTATGTTCAAGTTATTTGTTTACTTTTGAATACTGATTCTAATAACGTACTTAACGGTAACCACAGGGTTTTTGTTACATGTTATACATATTACAAAAATTAATACAATGTTGACGTTAAATGGACGGTCTGAATGACTTGCGGCATTCTTTCTAAGTCAACCCTATCAACAAATCACTTCAGACTATTATTATAATGTCAATACCAGTAATTTGCTGTACTATTCAAATTAGTTTTAGTAAATTCACTGTAAAACAATTATAGTCTTGGTAAACTCCAAACTCTGACCGTCTTTGTCTTACAGTGTACCAAATAAATTTAGCGTCAGTCAAAGTTAATGGACGATTCAAACTTAGACACTGATTTTGCATAGTTAAATTCTTGTGGGATTGTCAATAAGGTGTGAATTGTCAAAGAGTGGCGGCCTCGTACTGGCGGACGGAGTGTAGGGCGTCCTCACACTAGATGGAGTGACGACCTGGTAAGATATGCAGGAAGTCGATGGCGGCAGGTGGCTCAGGACCGTGCTTTGTGGCATTTCTTTGGGGAGCCCTATGTTCAGCAGTGGAGTTGTGAAGAGCTGTAATGATGATGTCAATAAGGTAACAGTTAAAGGTTTTATAAATATACAGTATAAGGGTGACAAGAGAGCTCACAGCCCACCTCTTGGTAAGCGGATGCTGTGGCCCACAGACATATACATCTAGCCTAGATTATGTAAATGTATGCAAATGCCACAACTGAAGACTAAGTTGGAATGACTTGTTTCCAATAAAGTCTCCGGTTCTCTACACTAACAAACCACAGCAGCATTAAACTGTAATTTTACGCTGGTATTCTGTGAGAGAGTGATCTTACCCCGGTAGAGCCGGCCCATTCGTATCATAACCATAATATGACTGCAGGTAGCACTACAAAGCACTAAATTAAGTCCTATCTAGATTTGATAACACGCTGTTATTTTTTCTTAATTTAAACTCTTTTTCGTGTTGGCATCTACCCACACTTGGCTCTAGAAGAGGAAACATCATGCATACATGCATGAACTCACCTGTCACACAGAAAAGTAAGCAGATACCACGGTTCGGATCTTTCTCATCCATATAAGTACTACGCGTACATGCTCGTCAGTTAAGGGGACTGCTAATTTGGCCCATCTTCAATATATTGCAAATTTGGCTAGTGAATTTCCACATAAAGCGTCCCTTACAGACTATTTTTACATAGAAAAAAGCCTACTCACTACCCACATTCCGGGGGCAAGAGTGGGTTATATCAGACTCGCACCGACTAAAACCCCATGGTGTTCCACCTTCGCCGCATATTGGCGTTACCACGGTAACGCTTGGGCATACATCCACGGCCCCACCAACGCTGGCCGCCCCACGACAGGCCCTGCTCGGGAGAGGCAACATTAATTTTCTTTAATATTATCTAACCTCTATTAGGTATTTTTGTGGAAAACTTCGAATTTGTCGGCAAACACCTGTACATACCTACAAAACCTATAAATAAGGGGACAAAGTAAATTACAAATAATAATTTAATATATTCATAACATAATGTCAATCTAGCTGGAAACAAGTTAGTTGAAACTTGTTATACTAACAAGTAGCCAGGGTTCATCGTTGTTGTTTTAATAGTTTCTCTGTTATTAGCTAAAACTCTCTCTAGCACACATGACGATCAGTTAATATAATATTGCACAACTTATGAAGATTCCTTGTTTAATCGTCTTCATTATTACAGACAAATCCACTGCTGTACTAAGTGGTTGCTGTGGCCCATAGACATCTGCATCTATCTTCGTTTGCGAATTAAAATGCAGATACGTCGTCACCCGTGAGGACTAAGATGGAATGCCTCGTTTCCAGTAAAATGGGTCTCTGGTTCTCTACACTCTCCATACGAAACACAGCAGCATTAAGCTGCTACTTTACGCTGGTATTCTGTGAGAGCGTGGTCCTTCCCCGGTCGAGCCGATCCATTCGTGCTACAACTACACTATTAATATAGCTGCAGCATGGCTCTACCACGTAAATTAATCGTTTAATATATATAAATGCAATAAAAACTCGAAAATAAAATTAAGAAAAAAAGACTATTAACAAATAAGTTTTAAATTATTACGGTCAACTTATTTCGGTGATAAATTTAAAGGAAATAAATGAACTATGTGCCAGACAGGAGATTGGTAACCAAAGTAAAAGCTGCAAGACCTTAGTACAAAAGGTGCGTTAAATTCAATTTTTTTTTCATTCATTCACGTCTCGCACGGGATTATACAGAGTAGTGGCTTCTAATACGTCACCAGTATACGACAAGGACTAAAATATAGAAAACTAAATAAATAACGAGGCCAACAATATTAATAAAGCATACAAAACCATTTAGCGTTATTGAGAATATATCCTACATAACTTTACCCACTAACTCGGCGTCACTAACTTGTCTTATTGTGTTGAAAATCGCTCAATACTGCAAACTTTGTTATTGCCGTCTCGATAGATTGTTTTGTCCCAGTTTCCAGTCAAGATGGAGCTAGCGTTGAATAAACTTTAGAAGAAGAAATTGACTTTTATTTTCTACCTGAACGCGAATTTTAACGAGGCCAGTCAACAGTTGTATGGACCATGCTTAATCTGTTCTTTTATCGAATTAAAGAGACAAACGAATACACATTTCAGTACGTGGTAGAGCCATGCTGCAGTTATATTACTGGTATAGTTGTAGCATGAATGAGTCGGCTCGACCGGGGAAGGACCACGCTCTCACAGAATACCAACGTAAAATAGCAGCTTAACGCTGCTGTGTTTCGTATGGTGAGTGTAGAGAACCGGAGACCCTTTTTACTGGAAAATAGGCATTCCATCTTAGTCCTCACGGATGACAACGCATCTGAATTTCGATTCGTAATCGAAGATAGATGTAGATGTCTATGGGCCACAGCATTCACTCACCATCAGGTGAACTGTGTGCTCGTTTGTCACCCTTATCCTATAAAAAAGTTCACCCGATGGTAAGTGGTTACTGTGGCTCATATACATCTAAATTTATCCTTGATTAATAATCAATAAAATATTATATTAATAATATACAGATGCGTTGTTACTTTAGAAGACTAAAATAGAACGCCCTAACTACTAAGAAGAACTGCTCGTACCATCTATATGCAGAAGATCTGCAGCTCTATGTACAATCTAGTGTTAACGACAATATCTTATCGATATGTTGGAGCGCCTTTTCAACAATTGCATTAGGTTCATTTTCAGCTTACGTAAGTACAACCATGTTTCCCAGTACCGTTCTAAGCTTAAATTGCTTTCTATTCATAAAAGGCGTAGCTCCCGAATAAGACAAGTACTATATTCAATTTTAAATGACCCAAATTCTTTGTCTTATCTTAAGGATAACTTTCAGTATCTGTATTCTATTCATGATAGAAATCCCCGTTATCAAAACAGTCTTAAAATTC